TTAGGTAAACCAAATAAATTTTTAAATAATTTTCCTCTTGTTTGCTGTTTTTTCAATGACGAAATAATTATTATTTAAAATGCCGCATCAACTTTTGTTTCGTTTTTAAAAAGTCACAGCTGCCAATATCAACGTTTGAATACCGAAGCGAAATTTATTGTACAGGGTGCGGCGCGGGAACTTACTTATTTGAATTGCGCGCCACGTGGCGGCCATTAGTCCTAGGAAGGTGGCAAGTAAACCCAACGAAACTTTAAATGTAGCTCTTTGTAAAAAAGAAAGAATTAAAACGCTATCTTTAATACTTTTTACTTTGTGATTTTTTTAAAAGAGTAAGTTCCCACGCCGCACCCTGTACATCAGGCAAATAATTTTATTAACTCGATTATTAATTGACAAAATAAATAGTTTATTTATGTATGAGTGTATTGAGAACGCTTAAGTTTCAAACATTTTTCTAATTAACTACTTTTGTACCGCATTAAGAAAAGTTGATTTATTCGCGCCAGTTAAACTGTTTACAAACACAGCCTCATTTCAACGTACACACAGTGACCTAACACCAACATGACCTCGTGCATTTGTCAAGTCCAGCATTAAGGTATTGATGGAACCCAAGTCACCTACAGCACTCTTGGTGGGCTCATAATTTAGTTCAATTACAAAAATCATCAGCTGGCTGGCTAGTCTTGCGTAGAATGCTCATTGCTCAAAGGCATGTCAGAGATTCTCACAGACAAATAAACTCCCAGTCTAAATTTCCTTTGCAATAAAGTTTGAGTCTTATTCTCAAATTTTAATGAACATCCCCTATAATTCGTAATTAAGGCATCTACTCATCATTAGCAGGCACAGCAGCACCATGCATATATACCATTTAGTGTGGCGTAACTAATTTTAATCAGCAGTAGCAAAGCAAAGCATTACTATTAATCATTTAAGAGGCCCGTTCAACGCGCTCAGCCGCGGTAGTCGTCTATGGACATTCTTAACCATGAGTTCGACAGATAACTCCTCTCATAAATAAGATAAAAATCTGAAATTTGGAATGCTATCCTGGCTAATTATTTTCAATCTGTGGGCATTAAGATAAATCATGTAAACTTTGTATTACCAGTGTTATCGCTAACGAAAATTTTGAACCATAAGGATCGTAAAATGAGCGACTTTTCTGACATTTTCGCGATACCAGTTTGTTTAACTCGTTATTCTTCATTGATCGCTATACCAAGCATTTCTGAATAATTTTTCTGGTTGTAGTTATATTCGTTTTTAACAACAGGTCCGTGAATTTTCCGTAGATTTAATCGAGATTTGCCCCTTCGTCGTCGTACTTGGCAGGAAAGGCAGGTCTGTCCTCTGGTAATAAATCTTCTGTGGGCCCGCGGTAAACATCCTCCCTCTCTCTCCCCCCCCCCACACACACTTTGCAATCCACTCAGCTTTCAAAGCGCTTCTCTGGTGCTGGTGTGACTTTTAAAAGGCCAAGACTGACAATACATGTTTGCATGCATAGTCAATAATGTGTAAATATTGTCAAGCTGGTCGTAAATACATGGCATGCGTTACGATGATTACGGAGAAATAATCTTAATTGCGTTTCAAAATATGAAGCAAACGAATGCATAAACAACACAATTCAAACAATACTGATCCTTCCCGCTGATGCATACTGATGACTGAACCATACTGATGGATGATGCATACTGATGACTGATGCATACTGATGACTGATGCATACTGATGACTGATGCATACTGATGACTGAACCATACTGATGGATGATGCATACTGATGATTGAACCATACTGATGACCGATGCATATTGATGACTGATGCATACTGATGACTGATGCATACTGATGACCGATGCATGCTGATGACTGATGCATACTGATGACTGATGCATACTGATGACTGATGCATACTGATGACCGATGCATATTGATGACTGATGCATACTGATGGAAGATGCATACTGATGACAGATGCATACTGATGGATGATGATGAATTATTAAATGATGATGAATTATTATTATTGTGATTGTAATAGGATGATTCATATGATAATGAAAGAGGAAAATCTAGATATATAATTTTTAAAGCTATGATGCGTGTTCCCATGAACAGAGTTCCGAATTAATAAAGGCTTTATTCAGAGCGGTTTCCTTTCCACCTCGATTTTTGTTGTAATGGATTCTTCCTTCCAAATAAAATGGATGTCGCGCTAAAATTTTTGTACAAATTACGAAAAGATAATCGTAATTATGTTTTAAAATATGAAGATAATGAATGCATAAACAGCACAATTTAATATTAAGTTGTCATTCACTAAACTTGAACGATCATATATTATTTCAAATAATTGGATCCATCTAAATTTTGTATTCCTGACACGCGTTTCACCATCGCTTGGTTGTCGTACGGTACATCGTTGTCTGGTTAATAAATTAATCATTGAATTAAATGAGTTGGAATATAGCAATTTAAATTCTATACGTACATGATCTGTGCAGTAATGAGAACATTCATGTAAATGTGTAAATTTTTATCAGAAGTTCATCAAAAACGGTTAAGAAGATGCATACTGATGACTGATGCATACTGATTTTGAAATATAAAATAAGAGTCTTGCGTTAGGGTAATAACGGAGACATAATCGTAGGTTTGTTTTAAAATATGAAGGAAATAAATTCGAAAACAACACAATTCTTTTTAAAAAGTTTTCGTTTGCTATCATTGTAACAACTATTTTAATGCAATTCATTGAAATAAATTAACTATAGTGTAGCAGAAGACGCTATTCAATCCATATGACGCTATTCATCTTGTGCAATGTAGCATAAGACGCAATGCAAATTTTATACGCACAACACGCTATTGGAGCATTCATGTTGATGTGAAAATTTTCATTGTAATAAATTCCTTACATAGGGTTAGGGAATTTGCTTTACTGGCATACCATTTAATTCATGTAAAAATTTTTAGAATTGACAGAAGTAGCCTATAACAGTAATAAAGCAATATTTGAAGGTTGTTTTTGCACAGCTCTTGGCAGAATTTTTACAGCACAGTGCGACAATGTGGTAAGACGATGCCACTTGTATTGTGTACAGTACACAAAAGAGCCATACTTGAGAGCATGAGCATCTCTTACAGCCTGTGTTGGGGCGACGATCACCGACTGAGAGACGAAGAAAACAAAAGGCAATTGATGAATGTGGAGGCGAGGAGGGAGTTGAGGTGAGCCCCCAGGGGGTTGAAAGAAGAGATAAATTCCTCAATACTCCTGTTTTATTTACCCCTTGGCTGAAATTGGCTCAATATATCGCATTTATTATTACAGGGATGAGACAATATTTGCACTGGATTTATCCGTGTGTTTGTTAACCTGTTGACATGGTATGATTGTGTGTACCTATTCGAGGGTAAGAGGGTACCTTCACCCTAACCCCCACGTCGGCTGTGAGGTTGACTCCACTGATCGTTGTTTATAATTGTAGCGGGTAGGGGAGGGAATCAGGGTGAGCGTGGAGGGGAGAGGAGGCGTTCGATTATTCTAGCCTTTTATTTCTTCACCAGTTCCCAGACTGTTCATTGTTTTTGAACAGTGACGAAGTATTCCAAACATGTTAAATACATAAGTAATACATCAAAAATTAATACTGACGTAAAAGTTCTTGTCCCTTTTTCATGTGGGCAGGGTGGCCCAGTGGTGGGCAGGGTGGCCCAGTGGTTAAAGTTCAGGGCCCATACTTTCAAAAAAAATTAAGAGATCGTAAGTTCTTCAGCCAATCGTTGAGGGCCTTTCAAGCAAAATCCACCAATCATAGAAAAAAATAGAGCTTAACTACTTACGTTCACTTAGCTAATTTTGAAAGTATGGCCCCAGAGCACCAAGATTGGCGAAGAGAGATCCCAGCTCTGTGCGCCAGTTTCTGGTCAGAATCGGCGAGGAGGCCGGGCGGTTAAGCACAGCAGAATAATTGTAGCAGCGAGTTGCGAGTTCGAGACCGCAAAATGCTGTGAATGTTCTGCGATGTTAAGAATCGGCGACAGGCCTACGGCCTACTAAATGCTGAAACCGCTATTATTATTATTATGTGCAAGCCATTTAGCAATTGGAACATCGTCGACTAAGAGCCGATAGATGTGACGATTGTATACCCACGATGCCTGCGTAGGCTTCAAGAACATGTGCACCAACACACAACGTTGCATTCTATAACATTATCATATATATTAATGGTCGATTTGCGACCCGTCAGATTATAACACTTCAATAACCAATTAACAAAATCAAGCTTATATAGTTGTTTTCTCAATGAAAAAATATATATAATGATAATAATTCTGAAAATGGAGGACTAATGCATCTCGAATGTTTCCTGGAAGACAGGATTAACCTAATTAATTGATCTGTTTAAACATAATGTATCTAACTACAAGCTACTGCCGACGAAGTCTCTTCACTTCATGTTCGTCAGCTAGCGTGAATATACGTAAGGAATTGGACTCTACCTCTGTTGTTGCGAAAGATGTCAGTCAAAATTTAGCTGTAATGACACTTGAGACGCCAAGTGATCAATAATTCAATGAAAAACATCATATTGTACGACAAATTTGATTAGTTACGCCTTTTTTATAGGAATTGCATTTAAAATAAGGTTTGGTCATGAGTCTTGAATACATTTGCGAATAAACGTACAGTTTAAGGTTATATACTAATTTTTTTACTAATGTATTGTGTAGAGAATGGAAGATATTTGATGGTCGAAGAACATAATTTTGCGTCTTTAAGTAAAGTGTTTTTCCATGATGTATTTGTGAAATACAACAATAAAAAAATATTGAATTAGAACTTACAGTATTTTTCCTTTTGAGTCGAAAAGAAAAGCTCCCTCATATCCGTCCCCTAAATCTCTGTTAGCAGAGTAACAATTAGCAAGAACTTCAGTTACTTATTGTAGTATTGTAAGCCCATTCCGTATTACTGACAGGCATGCAACCTTTCTTTGAGCCTAGTCATAGAATTAGAAGCACTTCGTCCTGTATGTCCCTGCGAGGTGGTCTGAGCTACTTAGGCTGCAGAGCACGACTCTAAGGTATGAGTTGGACGAGGTTAACTATTGTTTCTATATTTGATATTAGTGAAGGTTATATCGTGCTAATATAGTCAGATTATTTATTCATTGGTGTTAATTGTAAGTATTGCTGTCCGTCCTCTAGGGCACAGCGGAGTCCTTCTCCTCTCGCGACTCCTCTCATTACGTCGCTACTCTCATTATTGCTCTCAGATAACTCTTATGCGCCACTCTGCTTAATAGTTAGGATAATTAGACTTGTAAAGATCTTTTGTTTATTGAACCTTGAGATAACAATCTCACACTGATATACTAGAATATCCTGCCAACAAGATATACATAGGTACACATCAACCTCGCTGAGGAGAGCCATTCACTGCTGACTTTCTAATTGGCAATGTTATATTATTCAGAAATAAATTCGGATCGATCATTCTTATATCAAGATAAATATATTCTACGCATTCATCATTTACAGTCTACTTATAATATCACCTCTCATGCATTCAAATTTATCTACAAAACGTACATTTGAATCTTCATGCGCTCCGATATCATTCACTTCTAAATTGCAAAGATTACAATAAAAGAAAGAGCTGGCTAATATGCTATCACTTCAACGTCATGCCTTTTTATGTTTTGAACTTTGATATTACACAATACGCATTTTGTCTTTGAATTAAAGTATTCATATGATATGATCGAACTGTTAATTGCTTTCCGATGCTTTTGAGTTTCTATATGTCTGTTTAGGTTTTTAACTACCGGTAGTGTGTTAAAAGGTAATGTTTCATGCTGACAATACTTGCTTTCATTTTACTACAAAAATATATCCAAAGAGTTTTCACATTAAATGTATTTTTTTTCGTATGATTTACATCAGATGATTTATCAAGTCTCATTTTATACAGTATAAGTAAAAATGACATTGAAAAATTATTTAATTGATTTCTTTGATAAAATGAAAAAAGGTAATGAAACACAACACCTGAGTATAGCTAGATACTGAATGTGAGTGGTGACTTAATGCATGAATTGGTGATGTCTGTTGACCTTCCAGAATTACAGTGACAGAGGGGTGACGCCTGATAACAGCGGTCTTGGATCATGGGCTTGAGTCGGTTGCGTGCTGTTAATATTAAAGCGGTGTGGTTGGTGCGTATAGTTGACCATGAGCTGGAGCAGCGCTGGCCGGATGCGCTCGGCGAGCGCAGGCTACTGAATATGTACATTGGTTGTGCGTTCGGCGAGCGCAGGCTAATGACAAGGGGTATGGGTGGGTATTAGGGTGGTCCTCAAAAAACTTTTTTTCTTGAAAATGAGTTCCTACCTCAAAAACGGGTTCCTCCAGAGGCCTAAATAATATCCTTAATATATTTTTCAAATCAGTTAATATTCAGAGGTCGCTCAATGGTGTCAAAGTTTCATTCCTATGGCTCAGGGTCATTGGGTCCATAGAGTGAACAAATAAATGGGTCTGAACATGCTTGAACAGTAATTTTTTGTCCAGTCCCACCTTGAATGACTTGATTCCATTTCAGAGTGCGTTGTGCAGTGTCTACCTCTCATAGTCAGTCAGTCATGTTCATCTACGGATTGTTGAAGGTTGAGATAGGCAATGGCGACTGTCACACGTGCAAAGGGGGGATATTCAGCGTCTTCTTCTCCCACGTTGACGGGAGCAAAGCTTCCTTCTTGCCAGGAAGTTTTGGCCGTTGTCCATTTCCATCATAGCGATGGTGCTACTTACGGTGACGCCTTCAAAGATGTCATCTTTGAAGTCCTCCAGTTCTGGGAATGTACAAGGATTCCAACGATGCGTCCGATAACATTTTAACTGTTTAACTGTTAAGCCTACACCGAATTCCGCAATGAAACCTCGAAACAACGAATCATTCACACTGGGCTACCACAGGGATCCGTGCTGTCCCCATCGCTCTTTAACCACTACGTTTCCAAAGCCCCACCACCTCCGCCGAACATCAAAATCATCTCCTACGCAGACGACTTCACCATCTACGCAACTGGACCCGACACCGTACGACTTACCGAACAACTCAATAACTATCTGCCAGAGCTGACCTCCTTCTTTACCCAACGCAATCTCGAAATTTCAGCCACCAAGTCAACAGTCACGCTCATCACTCCTCACACCGCTCAATACAATCACCACCCACAAGTGGAAATCAACAACCAGGTACTGCCG